ACTTAACATTATCATATTTTCATAAAAATTATGGCTTCTCTGACAATAAACTTACTTGCACAGTCCGTTTTATTTTTGAAATTGGATTATTATGTAACATCAATATTTTAACGTGAGAATAGCAACAGTACTTATGATATCTCTCAAAATATAAGGAATGGTCTCAACGAAGCTTAATAAAATCGAAAGGAAATTTTGCGTCTGTCCGTATCAATGGAGTTTCATAAAAAAAATCAAAGTATCTACCACTGGAAACTTGGAATTTCTAAGATCCGTAATTACAATTTTTTAATTTGGAATCCAGAAGATTGGTCAACATCGATCGAATTATAAAAGCCACATTCAGACATATTTAATATTTGAATAGGCCAGGTTGGTCTGATATTGATTTATTATGATCTAAGGAATCTGTGGTCTTAAGTTGTATTTTATCTCCACCTTATATAATTAATTACAACTAGCTGCCAATGTTCCGTCTAAAGCTGACTAATCTATTATCCTGTCTTTCTGAAGTTAATAATGCAATACGATGAAATAAATTGCATTGTCTTTAACCGAAAGTGAGAAAAAAACACCAACATCGCGTCATAAAACTGCAATTTTTAATATGACTCCTGAATATTCTAAGAGTAACACAACAAATTAAAATTATAAATCCGCAATTATCTGGTCACGATACTTTTTTTTTTCTCCGATTTAAGTGCAGCTCGAGCTCGTCATCCTTGTAATATTTATCCTTTGTAACATTTCTTTCCCGTGAAAAGGTGTTTACTCACTGCCATTGTCAATATCAAATTTAGACTTTTATTTAGTCGAAAAAAAATTTACAATTTGATGCTATAATTCCTCGTTGTGAAACGGCTGCGATTTGCGAAATGCGAACGAAGTAAAAGTACAATCTTTAATAATAACACTCTATTGCGAATCTACCTGTCAATTGAACAGGTCTTGCGACAGTCCCAGTCATTTCTGCTATTAAGTCATGCTACCAAGTATCTGCAAAGATAAGTGAAAAATGCAAGGTTTTCCGGATTGCATTTAAAAAAGAATATTGCGATAAAGAGTTTTTATACGGTGGCGCAAGATACAACCTTAAATGTTTTATATTGAGCCAAAGTATTGTGTTATAAAAACGTGTAAAGCATATACAGTGCTCTGAAGCACCCAGTACAAATATTTGGCCTTGAACACCCGTATTAAGATATAGGGTGGTAATTAGGTTGCCTCAAATAGCTTAAAGTGACTTCAAAAACTGGTGCACACTGAAGAGAAAATTAAGAAAGCATCTGAAAATGTATTAGTGGTTTATTTTGAATATAAGGTCGTGGAAGTGTAACATTATGGTCAATTTATGTTAAAAAGTACAGTGAGTGTTGAAAAAAGCGGAATTTGAGGGCATGTCCAGATTCCCGAAAACCGACATCGTACCGAAGATCGCCCAGGTTTCGGTGCGTTCCCATTAGAGAGGCGATCGAACGTCGACTTTGACCACTTGAAGTTATATAACCAGGAACAAGTACCTGGCCAGTGCCGGGTGGTTCAAATTTGTCGGTTTTCAAGGGTTACTGCGAATCTGTTACAGATAGAGTAAATGTGATAGACGAGTCTAGAGCTATTTTTTCGAGAAAATAACAATGGCGCAAGCCCCATCTCTCTATCTGTTACCGTTTTCGAGCTACAGGGCGTTTCTCGATTTTTGGTTAAACCGACTGATGCTCTATTCTCGTTTCCCTTTCAAGATATCTTAAAAGATTTGAACATTAGATTTTGTGATATGACCACAACTTGTATTTTTGATACACTCTGTTATTTTATTTCAAAAACGGAAAGAGGGCTAAAAATGCATAAAAAAATATTTTTTACCTATTATTTTATGTGTAGATTTGCGGAAAATATAAAATTTTCAAAATATCAGCTATATTTAAATATTCTGACTAAGAAGGCTTTGAAAACAATCAAGGTTGACGTTTAACGTTTAACATTATTAGAAGCGTGTTAACAAAAATCAAAAACGGTTCTTTACTCAAATGGAGACAAACAATTTAATAAAATATTTTAATCTCAGAAATGGAAATGCAGATTGTGGTAACAGAGAAGGTTATAAGCAACGCAATGCTGCCAACCACTAAATATCTCCATTAGCATGTAATTCAAAAAGTTCGGTTACCTATTTCCTAAATAGAGCTTGTACATGTTGTTTTGAATGTTATATTGATCCACTTGATTTATAACTTAAGTTTGCAGTAACAACAAAACACCTTGTATATTAAAAAACGATACGAACCCACCAAGTGCATTTGTGGTCTCACATTTAATCGAGTTACAATTGAAAGAAGATATTTTTTTAAAAGCCAAGGCAATAATTAACATATCGACGATAATACAGAAGGATACCAGACCAATAACGATAAAATTTGCATTATTTATAGCATTCTTCCGCTTGCATTCGAACTACAAGCATTACCGAATAGTTGCGTCAATTGTATAATGTTTATGTATTTATTTATTTATATAAAAGAACGGGATTAACAAGAACACAATAAAGTAATTAATTATACATCTCGTTTCGTAAAAAAAAAATGGGAAAACCTTAGTCACGATCATGGTAATGAAATATCTCATACATATTTAAAATAAATTCTAGATCCTCTATTGTGTTAAAAATATTGCAACTCGTGTGGTGGTTTCTGTACAGGGTGTTCCGAATTGCAGTGGCGTCAAATCTGGGGTTTTTGGTTGCGGTATCCCCCACCACCTCTGCCACTTGTTGACAGATTTGAGTATCAACTCAGCAAATTTTTGCCTACTACTAGGTAAATCTCTACCCCAAGAATCAACAATATTATGTTAAACATCTTAAGAGATATTCAAATGAATGTGATTTTTTTCAATTTGAACACTGTATCTGAATAACGAATCGTTCTACACAAATATTTATATGAATTTTCTTTAATTATTTTTTTCCTGATTGACACTGACATTGAACATGTCAGAAAATTTTTGTACAATCTACAATACACAACGAACGAAAATAAAATTGTTTTTTTTATGTATGAACTGATCACTCGGTATATTAGGCATTGTGAATTAAATTCAATGTTGTGATAATCTATATCATTTTTTGCTTCATTAGTACATGCTTATTATTGCGAAATTAAAACTGAAAAAATAATTCTTTATCAAATATACAAATATACAATATACTATTTTCAATTGTGGCTGGAAATTGTTGTTATTCAAATATTTTAAAGTTTTTGCACCAAATTATTCCAGTCGTTTCCTCCTTGCAATCAGTAACAAAATACTTAAAAAATAATAAGTACTAAATATAATAATAATAATATAATTATAAAAAATTATAATGTTAATTTCTATAGTATTACAAAGTGTAAACATGTTTGGCCAATTTTTGTTTTTGAAATAAGACGATGGCTTATTTCAAATCGTAAAAAACTACAAGATAAATAATATACAGGGTTACAATCTTTTAATTATCCAATACAGGTATCTTTCTTATTTTAAGAGATACGGAAACGGTTAAATGAGCAGTTTTTAAGTTTAGAACATTCCGACATTCCAGGGTTTTATGACATGTGGAATCTGATGGTGCTACGTTTTTTTGGCGGGGAACCCCCTTAAGACAATTTTTCGTGGGCCCCCTTGTCTTTGGAGCCAAAAAAATTTGGTCGCATATTTAAATTTCTTAAAAATTATCAGTACACTAGAAAGCCATTAAATTTAGAAACTTTTTGTCACTTTATACTTTTTTCGTAAAACGCAATGTTTTCGAGAAATATGTCAAAATGTGATCGAATGCATGTCGTGATTCGCCATTTTCCTCAAAAACATTGCGTTTTTCGAAACAAATATCAAGAGACAAAAAAGTTTCTAAATTTAATTGCTTTCTAGCTAACTAATAATTAAAAAAAATCAAATTTGCGACCAAATTTTTTTGGTTCCAAAGACAAGGAGACCAAAGAAAAAGTGTCTTAAGGGGGTTTCTCGTCAAAAAGCGTAGCACTGTGAGATTCCACATGTCATAAAACCCCTGTGTACCAAATTTAGTGATTCTCGTACAACATGGTTTTGAGATATAAAAAAGACTTCTTAGGGGCAGATTTCAGGGGGCTGTAACTCCGAAAGAGGGGGCCAGTTGGCAAAAAGAAAAAATACGGTTCCCCTGAATTTGTCTTAAGAATCTATGACCAAATTTTGTTGCATGAATTTCCGGACACCCTGTATAATCGGTATATAATTTTGTTGAAACATATTTTAAGAATATTGAAAGTGAAAAGAAAACAAGAGAATCTTACAATAAAAATTCCATATATTCCTGTATTATCCGAAAAATTAAGGAGGATAGGCAACAAATCTAACAACAGAACAGTTTTCCAGACAACTAATACTTTTTGACAAAAATATTTTCAATTTATAAAATTAATAAAAGATGCAAAATTTATCTTTAACTGATTTTTAGCAAAAGTAACAAGTTCAATCATTCGGATCACAATGAAAGAAAAATTGCAGCCGTTTGAACTCTTGAGGGTTTCTATTGGATACTTTGAGGATAAAAGAGAAACGAAAACCTCCTTAGTCTATTCTTTATTTGTAAAACTGCCTCAAATTTAGTGCAAATCCTTATATGCGCAACTTTTTACCTTTTTTCGAACGTTTCTTGTATCGAAAAACTGTTATCAAAAAACGACAAGAATATCTTACACAGGATACTGTCTGCTGATTTCTTATGATTTCTGGTCAACAATACGAATTTTTGACTTTCAGATCCTGAAACTAGAAATTTCAAGCTTCAATTTGTTCTACGACCATTTTTCTCCAAGTTACAATTTTTTGGCGTAAGGGTTTATTTCAATAATTTTCAAAATTGTTTTACATGCGGCAAAATACCAAATAAGTAAGGAAAAAAGCCTACTTCGTCAGATGAGTTTTTATGTTTCACCAAACGTTAACCCAAAAATCTAAATTCCCCAACTCCTACTCACCGGTAGTGCGAAGAAAAGTTACACGACACCTTCTTCATCTTCGACTATTTTCTCACCACACACGACCGTAAAATGGCAAAATACCGCCACCTTCACACAACATAGCAAAAACGTAGATAGGTAAAAGCTAATTACGAATAATTGGCGATTTTTTTTAAAGCGAGCTCTTAACACCCGGGAATCTAAGTCGCGTACGACTTTGCAGCCATCTGAGTACAAAAAAACTGGTTTAGGATTTATATACATCGGATGGTTATAAAAAAACTAAATTTTTAAGAATACCACGTCATAAAAGTGTTGAGGTCGAGTCAGTCAAGCAGGTATTTTAGATTAGCTTTTCATCCAACGCTGAGCTTTCTCAACGCGATGCAACAAAAAGACAGCCCAGGACCGTATTCGCCCAAAGTTTTGGGACCAGAAAAACGAAAAAAAAAAATAACCAGGGAGCTTGAAAAAGCAGTAACCGAAATACAAAAATAGGTGAGATCTAACTATCGTGGTTACGTGTAACTACGTGTTGGTCTTTGTCAAACGCGACATTAGTGTAACGAGAATAGAAGATATTTCTTCTTCGAAATACATTATTTAATTATTTCGATATGTCAGATATGTATTTTCAATTGACATTTTGACACAATATTTTTGACTTTCATTTTAGATAAGCACTACCTGTTTAGTAGATATTGCTGGTATAATTCGGTGCTACTCGGGATACATAGTTCGTAGAATAGTTATATCCTGAAATATCATCAGTTAAAAGCTCGTCTGTAAGGTTAGATATCTAGATCCGTACATTTTTTTTCAAAGAACATTGTTTGACTTCACTTGTTACTTGTTAAGATTTTTAAGATTTTTACTTAATTTATTTGTTTTGGCCTAATACATAGAGGGTGTTCCACCTAAGAGAGATCCTTCTGTAACTGTAAAATTTATAAAAAAATGATTTTCATAAAAATTGTCTTGAATTATGTAGGCCATGTAATGAAAATATGTTTAGCTTTCCAGGGTGTTCCATTTGGTGTGGACGCTACATAACTTTGTTATTTTAAATGGAACACTCTGTATATTATTGCATTTTTGAATTCCTTGGTTAGTATTAGGTAGAGTTTATTAAATGTACATGGTGTTTAAAACTTACCGTTTTCGAGATAATCAGATGTTTTTGAAAAAAATTACGATTTTAGCTCCCTAAATGAGGCTAGATAGCGTCTAAACCGTAAAAGCTAGAAACCTGCAGTTTTCATAGTTCGTTTTAGCATAAATTACTCTATCTTGTCATCTGTGAGCAAAACGTGTACGTTATTCAGACTCGGAAATACCGAGACCTACATTTAATAATCTTACGGGTTGATTTTTTTTTTCAAGTGCAATGACCCATATTAATTGTAATGGGTGAATGCCCTTTCGACTGATATAAGGTTGTCCATACTTATCTCTAACAGTTTTCCAGAAAAATCCGGTTCTTTTCTAAAGTCCGAAAAAGTAGCTATGTAACAGCGCTAAAGGCGGTTTTCCACTAAACGGACAAAACAAAAACAAAACACAAACTTGTGTCGAATAAAACAAAACTGTAACTTTTCGCAAACTTTTTGAAGACTGGCGTGTTTTGCGACAGTTGGAGTTTTGTTTTTCGGGTCCCGCTCGAAAGCGGTCACATCAGAAGGTTTCGACGTGCTTTGAAACTCAAGTCTGTTTGGTGGAAACGGTCGTGTTGTGTTTTCTATTTAAGTGTATATCTATTTTGGCGTTTTCTTCTTCCCAAAAACAATATTTTAATCATTAATGAATTATAGTTATTAAAAAATATATATGTGTACGGTTAAAGTGTTTACTTGGCTAGGATACAAAGTAACTAACTATCCAAGTAAACACTTTAACCGTACATATACCACGAACTCCATCGATGGATATCTGGGAAACCGCTCGAAGGATTTTTTGAAATTGGGATGGTGTGATACGGACCGTGGAGCCTACCAAGCTAAAATATTTTCAAGGTCATCGTACTTCCGGTTACACCGGAAGTTGATACTAACTTTCTTATTTTAAATGGAACTCCCTGTATATTATTGCAAAAAATTAGGGATTTCCATTTAAAAATTTCTAGTTTTCCACATATTCTGAACTTCATATTCGATAAAAAATATTTGACCACCCTGTATAAAAACTGGAAAATTTTCATGTCAAATTCGATAAAGTAGGTCTTCCTCTACAAAATGTCCAATTTGCACAAAAAAATAAACCGGGAAAACTAAATTTTGCTGACAGTGTGAATCTGTCAATTTTTGTTTAAAAATCGAAATATCTCGGAAACGGTCAATCCTAAGTATGGAGTGTGCTGTATGTTTTCAACTTAAAAATGGATGATGTTTCCAAAAATGCAATAATATACAGGGGGTTCCATTTAAAATAAGAAAGTTAGTATCGTCTTCCGGTATAACCGGAAGTACGATGACCTTGAAAATATTTTAACTTGGTGGGCCCCACGGTCCGTATCACACCGTTACAATTTCAAAAAAATCCTTCCAGCGGTTTCCCAGATATGCATCGATGGAGTTCGAGGTGGGACACTCTGTAGACACTTACTTTTTTTTTCAAGAACTTCAGTATAAACCTAAAACTAAGAATAAAAAAATCTTCTCTAAACATGTTGGTTGGTTATTCGAAAAATGTGTTCCGACTTCCTCGCGACAACTAGCGGAAAAGGACCGAAAACAAAAACAAAACTCGAACAAAAATGTAGCCCGCTTGATGGAAACAAGAGTTTTGGGTTTGTTTCAGTTTTGTTTTTGTTTTTCAGGTTCTAGAAAACACAAACAAAACATAAACTCAACTGTCCGTTTAGTGGAAAATCGCCATAAGAAGGCCTTGCAATTATATTAGTACAACGTCGGTAGATAGGATTTTATAAAAACACAGCACAGCATATCCTTATCGCATCCAATTACACCAAGAGTTACTAAAAGTAGACTTTCAGCGGAGACTGGAGTTTTATCAGTGGGCACTTGAGATGTTAAATCAAGATGATGATTTTTTTAAACGAGCCATGTTCTCCGATGAGGCTACTTTTAATAAAAATGGTTTCGTTAATATGTCATTATTATAACACAGTAAATCCTCACCAATTCCGGGCAACTCATAGCCAACGATGGTCTTTGAACATGTGGGGAGCAATTTTGAGAACCCCTGTCATTGGACCATTCTTTTTTGACCAGCGCCTAACTGGAGCAGTTTATTTAAACTTTTTAACAAACAGTCTAGACGATTTGTTAGGCGACATTCCTTTAGCTACACTTCGAAGAAGTGGATGCAACACGATGGTGCTCCACCTCACAATACCGTCAGTTTTTACGGGAATCTTTTCCCAACAGATGGGTTGGGCACGGGGGTCCAGTGAATTGGCCTTCAAGGTGTCCAGATATGACATGCGACTTCTTTTTGTGGGGAATTATAAAAAGTCTATAAAATACAGCATTACAGTAGCATTTCAAGAAATTACGCCAGATATGCTGACCAATGTTGAACAGTCTTTTAAAAACCGAAATCGCTTGTGTATAAAGTATTTTTTCCACGGTCGGGAGTAGAAATCAGTTTCTATGACATCAAAATTAAAACAGAAGTAGTCGATTATTCCCAAGGGAGTATAATGCTCCCAAGGGAGTTTACATTATGGAGAACGTTTTTCATGCAAAAAAAAGATAACATTGAAATTATTTATTGACATTTAAATTAAATGTTACATTTGTACAATTTTCAAAATTAATATTAGAAGGAATATTACTTTCGCTTACATTTACAGTTTTTGTGATTGCGCTAGTAGTGGTACCTACTAAAACCTGATTAGCAATTTTGGTCTTATTTTCAATGGAGTTCTCGACATAACCCTCAGCGACTGTCGTTGATTTCCAACCAGCATGACGCTTTATTGTCGTGATATCCACACCAGCATCTGCCAGTAATGTCGCTGAAGATCTTCGTAAGCAGTGACCAGTATAACATGCAGCATCAGGTAATTTTAAATACGAAGCTACTACACTCGGAATTTTTCCCATGGTATTCTTGCCAACTGGCTGCGAACTACATTTTCCTGCTTTGTAGTACAAAAAAAGGCGCTTATGCTTGACGTGGGGAGGACGAAGGGACAGGTATTTTCGAAACAATTCAAGCATATTTCCCACATCGGTAACCACAAAGGTTCGTGGAATCTTTGTCTTAGTGTTTGGAATTTTTACAATCAAGGAAGAGCCTACATCCTCAATATCATCTACAGTTAAATTGACTAGTTCATCAGTTCGACAAGCTCCGGCAATCCCCAGAATTAATCCAACCTATAAAAAATCAAAATACTTAATAATTGAAATACCTAACAACAAAAGTAATCTTACCTTAATCATTAAGAATTCTTTGTCATCTGCACTTGATAGAAAACGGTCGATTTCACCCTTTGTCAATATTTTCGATTTTTTCGCTTGATATCCGTCACCGGTTCTTTTCAAAAATGCGATCAGCTTGGGGAATTTGCTTATATCTATGTTGTCGTAAATTATCAAGCATGACTTAACCATAGAATATTGCGCCCATAATGTGGAAGACTTGTAATTCTTTGCATTTTCACTGAAGTATGCCAACAAAACATTCTCGCTGTATACTTGAACATTTTTCTCGGCGCACCACTTTTTGAACCGATTGTAGGCTATATCGTATAAAGATCTTGACTTCGTAGGCAGCAAATTGCTTATTGCAATATTTGCAGCCTCCACAATCTCTTCCGACTCACAATTATTCATTGTGCACTAAACAAACTTTAAACTAAACCAAACTAGCACCTTAATTTGACAATTCTTTTTGTTTGTTTATTTTGTAGTTATGACAATAACTCAACGACTACTAAATAAATGCTCAAATCCGAATACAATAATTCTGGTGCTACTTACTTCATAATGACAAAATACATATTTTTAAGTTAATGAGACCGTGGAAAAAATAGTATATACCATTCGGGAGAGATGCTATTTTGTCCTCGGTGCATTGTCCTCAAATTGCGCCT